GTCCTGAGCTTTAAGGAGGAGCTTTTGACCATCAGTAGAGCATGGTTGATGTTGCTGATCAATGCAGTCATTGCTTATGACCCTGGTGTTTGCTAGGCTTACTGATTACAGACTGTTACCTGAGCAGTTATTGTAATTAGCCAAATGAAAGTCAATGTTATTATGATGCATTGGAATTATCTTACGTTAGATAAATAAGGAGTAGCAATCTGTCTGATTTGTATTAAGCGAGAGAAGAAATCTGGGAACAAAATTGCTGTAATAGGCTGACTATTCCATGTTATACAAATGCATGCAGAGGAACAAGACAAGTATGAGAATGAGCCTTATGATTCTTAAAATTGCACAATATGCATCTCAGTATATTCTAGGCATAAATTTTTTGCTTGTTAATCATAGGAAGAGTAGATCTTTTTTACAAGTGTTTTTTATATATCATTTTTCACAACTGGATTGCATGTGGTAGAATGTACCATTTTGTTTTTATGGGATCTAGGACAACTTACCTATTTTAATTTTTCAGGCACGAACTTTTGCCTGTCAATCCTGGAAAGTGTTGAACTATTTTAAATTTGTCTTTATATATAATTTTTCACAACTGGGATGCACATATTAGAATGCATGTAATGGACATCTGGGATTGCTTAGCAGTATTAATTTTGGTACCAGGAATTTTCAGAGTAAATCGATGGTTGGAGATCATTTTTCTTCATGCTGATCTTACAAGCAGCAAAAGTCACATGTTCTAACATTCTAGTGCACTGATCTCTTTTCTGGATTTGACTCGGAACATCTAGCATTCTTTTCTAGATGTTTCTCAGTCATCATTGAGATGCTGAATATTTTCATTTTCTAATTATTGCCTATTTGTGAACTTTTATACTTTTTTTACTGTTGTATACTGATGTTTGGAATTTGTATTTTCAGATAATGAGAGATCCAGAGACTGGAAATTCCCGAGGTTTTGGATTCATCAGTTATGATTCATTTGAAGCATCTGATGCAGCTATTGAGGTAACTCCATGTATTTATGTTTTACAAACGTTTGAGAAACAATCATTTTCAGTAGTTAGAGATTTGCACAAATTGTTGGTTGTGTTTTAGGTCATTTTGGACTCTTGCAAGTAATTTTACTTTTTAGCCAAAGGATGCAAAATTGTAGACAATTGTATTAAATGTTACTTTGTTTGGTAATTGCTGGATGAGGAGTCAACTCAGTTGGAATTAATACTCTTCTTATATTGATTAAACAGAGCTGACTGTTTAATAGTAATTTGGACTTTAACAGGCAATGAATGGTCAGTATCTTTGCAACCGTCAGATAACAGTCTCATATGCATACAAGAAAGACACTAAAGGGGAGCGCCATGGTACTCCAGCAGGTGAGGCCTTTTGTCATTGAAACGTTGCTTTAAATATTCTTTACAGTTTCTTCTGTTGCCTCATTTTATGAGAGCTTATGAGGCTCTTAACTAGATGGGTGCTAGTCCTTTTATTTTAAAATGAAATAGGAAAGTTTCCATTAATGGTGTCTCGAACAGAGAAGCTTATGGTTGAGTCTTTCTATTATTAATAGAAGTGATTTAATTGTTTCTGTTATTGATCCAGAGAGAGTTTTGGCTGCAAGCAATCCAACTACCCAAAAGAGCAGGCCCCACACTCTGTTTGCCAGTGGACCTCCAACACTTGCCTCTCAGGCCAATGGTGCTATGGTCGCACCTGTGCCTCCCCGTCCCTTTGCAAATGGTGTTGTAGCTCCAGGACCAATTCCAGCACTGCGCCCTCCGCCCCCACCAAATGCAGCATTTGCACCGATGCAGGTTGGTGGTCAATCAGCTTGGCATGGCCAGCCACCTCAACAAGGTCAACCAATGCCACCTCCGGTCATGCCTGCACCACCTGTTCAATTCAGGCCACCCCCACCAAACATGCCACAACCTCCTATGCAAGGAGCTCCCATGTTCCCAAGGCCTCCCCCACAGCCCATGGCCATGGGAGCCCAACAACAAGTTTGGCGGCAGCCACCACCACCACCACAGCAATTTGCTGGGAGGCCCCATATGCCACAAATGTTGATGCAACCACCGCCACCACCCAATGCACTACCACCACCACCACCACCCTCAAGTTGAGCCTAGAGTAGAGCAGTTGCGACTATTCATAACATCAGCTACTATGTTGAATGTTGCTTGTATCATTTTGTTTCCGATTGTAGTACATTTTCCTAATTAGTACCATAGAGCTGGTAATATAAACTGCCGTTTACAATGTTATAGCCTTCATTTTTGCTTATGGACTGCACATTTCCCCTTGCATTCATTTCAAGTAATCGAATCTCAGCTTGTAAAGTTTCTGGTTAGGTAACAGGTTCAGCTGGCCACAAATCTGTAAAATGAGGTCATTGATGATCATTAAGACCTACGGTTTGCATGGTTAAGTTTTGGTAATTTAACTAAAGAGATAGTCATGATTGTTAATGAATTAATGATGGTTTTAAAAATATTTTTTATTTAAAAATATAATAAAATGTTGTTTTTTTATATATTTTTAAAATTTTTTAATGTTATTATTATTTGGATATTTTTTAAAATAAAAAATAATTTAAAAAACACTTTGAAATTTCGGAGACGAGGTGGTATTACTTGCAAGTATTTGCATCATTGCTTTTCTCACAAGGAATGAAATCTGGATCGAAGCCCCTTGCTCATCTTCTACTAACGCTGACGTGATCTCATTAGCGAAATTCATTCCTTGTTTTATCTGCACTCATACCTGCCAATTAGCTTTACTAGTTAGGAATCAGCTAGGAATCAATCGTCTCGCTTAAAACTTCAAATAAAATAGAATATCTTATGCCTAATCTTCTGAATCTTAATACATGCAACTGGAACTAGAAAACAAACGAAAAGGTACGGAAAAGAAGATGCATTTGCTTTTCTAAATGAAGATTGACGCAACAATTTCCATTATTTGGATCAAGTTTGGCATCACTAAAATTGCCAATAGGGTACGCAAATCAGGACAGTTCAGCATTGTTGAGACTTAAGGGGAAAACTATTGTGATCAGAGTACTTGAAGAAGATCCTGTACTGTCCACAAATTCTGTAGGTTATCGTTGGTGCCTAAGATAAGCAAGTGAGATGTGTTCTTTATTGTTCTCGTCTCTTCCCCAAATTTACTGGAACCAAAGGCGATACATGTTCATGAATTCTTGCTTCAGTGACGTTTGGCTTGTTTGGTCATCTAACATCTGCAAAGGTAATTTTAGGCGCGGTTGCTTCTCTGACTGCAACGATGGGATGGAACCATATTCCACTTCACAATCCAAGACCAAATTAATATTTCAATATATAGAAATCAATATCTTTTCTTGGTTTCCTCTCAGGTATAAATCCTAGGTACGCGTATTCAGTCAGGTTTTATCCCTTTATCCCAGAAATGGATCAAGGTCAGAAGACTATTAAGTATCAAATATATCCTCCTGTAACGAAAGTTTCATAGTAAACGTATGATTTTGTGAAAGATATTTCATCAGACTGCAAGTATTTGAAACTGCCAAAAAACATGAAATCAATTGGCAATACTGGTTTTGGTTACTGAAGAGGCCGAAATGACTACCTTCAGCACAAGGTTTACCATCTTTTGTTTTCTTGTCAAAAATGAGAAGGACGTACTGCTTAACCACAAGTCTGATGGAAAACTTGCTAGAGCTCAGCACTTGAAACGCTGCAGGAGAAAAATACCAGAACCTATATCCTGCTCTGAGATCTGCAAATCCATTAGGGCTGACCCTATTATTTTCTTTGTATGCAAATGTTTAAACGAACAACACTGGGAAAAATCTAAACATTGGGATAATTCGTGGTGACTTCAGAAACACCAATCTCTAGGCCTTCTACAATCACACACGTAACTTAGGCTGCAAAACACTTCCTTTTTTCCCACACAGCTTGAACTCACCATCGAAGCCCTTGTCATCTTTTGTTGGTTGCATGTGTCTATTGAAGCTGAGCTTTGTAGAGCTAACTAGTCCTTTGTAGAGGTAACTATTTCTTCTCTTCTTTCTCTTTCGTCCTGCGTACCACATAAAAAGCCAAATCCTAGTGGAGCTTGCCAAACACTAGCTTTCATCCCCACCACTGATGAGATGTATAAAACAACATGACAAAAATAAAGGTTTATGATATACAAGTGATGTATATGCTTGCATATGTCTACATGTACATATGTGGCAGATACCTCTCTAGACGGGAAGCATCATATAGAGTGCAGAGAGGAATACATACAGAAAGCTTACCACGACTTTTCTCTTGAAGATGATAGTGACAGGAAAATGTTGCTTTCTAGTCTAATACTTGATAACTCTTAACAAATATAGTAAAAGATTATCATTATACAATTACCATGATGTGAGAATAGACTTAACAAGAATGTTGGTGGTGCATCAGATAATGTTCTGTCCACTATCGAGGGAGATTTCTACACGTTGGAGGAACTTCATAGGATTAAACAAGGGCATCAACATGGATACGGAAATATTCAATGATAACTCAAACCATCACCTAATTTTAGTGCTGTAGCTAATTGGAACAAAGATATTTTGAATAAATTCAATTTCTTCACTAGTGATTTGCTTTTTCCTGGATTGTGCAATTTGAAAGCTCTATATGCTGTCGGCGAGGCCGGTATTCTGTCTTCTTCCTCGCACCTAGTTATCAAATAATATAAGTACCCCAATGGACTTCATATCCATCCATAACATAAAATGAATGCATTGATTTGCATTCAAAACTTTCATGAATGAATTTCTTCCTCCAAATAGAGGCAGGAAATACCACACGCCAGCTGCAGTCTGTTTTGGTCACTACACTTCATATTCACCATAAAACACTGTTTCTCTCAATGATATAAGCTTATTTTTCCGAAAAACATTCGAAAACAAGTGTCATTTTCCACATAAAGTCCCACCCTTCTACATAATTCCTCAAAAAGGCCTTGTTTCTTGCCAACATTTCTTCTTTGTTCCACTACAAGAATATAAGTATCATCTCTCTTTATATTTACTTGCCATAGGGCAGCTATCCTCTTCCATTCTGTCGTTCTCCATCACTGGAATCTAGCTAGAGATAGACTTGATCAATACAAAGTTAAAACCATCCTGAGAAACAAATGGCAATGCAGACAACTGCTATCCAAGAAGATAAAGGCAATGGGATATTTCATAAAGCTATGAACTCAGAGTCAAAGCCTGTTTGGATCCCTGGACCAGTGATCATTGGCGCTGGACCCTCAGGGCTAGCTGTTGCAGCATGCCTTAAAGAAAGAGGTGTTCCCTTTTTGATACTAGAGAAAGAGAGATGTATAGGTTCTCTGTGGACACTGAAGACATACAATAGTCTACAGCTTCACCTCCCAAAGGAAACCTGCAAACTCCCTCACATGCCATTCCCTCCTGAAGTCCCAGCATACCCCACTAAACAACAGTTCATAAGTTACTTGGAGGCTTATGCTAAGCATTTCGCAATTGAACCCATGTTTAGACAGGAGGTTCAATCAGCTATATATGATGCAAGAATGGGGTTCTGGCGGGTCCAATCCAACGAGTCTGAGTTTCTGTGCCGGTGGTTTATCGTAGCAACTGGAGAGAATGCAGAACCAGTGTTACCTAATATTGAAGGAATCTCAGATTTTAAAGGAAGTTTAATCCACACCAGCAGATTCAAGGACGGAGCTGATTTTACAGGACAAAAGGTTTTGGTTGTAGGCTGTGGAAACTCAGGCATGGAGATTAGCTTAGATCTATGTAATAATGATGCTCAAGTTTCTCTGGCAGTGAGAGATAAGGTAAAATGTTCTGATCCATGCTCTCTTGCTCCAAATGTGTACCATCCTATATGTTCTTCTCTTTCAACTTCTACTGAAACACGTATGGATCTAATCTATAGATACATATGATCTATATTTGTTCTGAACTTGATGAACTCCCAACTTTCAACTATAGAATATGTAAGACCCCATGATTCACATATGATTTGCTGCTTGCTCAAAATCTTCGATCAGTTTTACCTAAAAAAATCGAGAAAATCAATTTCATGTTCCAACAGTACGTTACAAACTGTTCCATTGATTATTACATATCCAATGATGCCTTACTTTGACATATAGACAAGTAAAATGTCTTTGTTTTAGCATCGTCAGAATGAGGTAGCATGTTGAAATTTCACCTGTTTAATGTTTTTTGACTTGTCAGTTTCTTTTCTTTTCACTGTGAATTATTCATGTAGTTCTAAATTCTTGCAGTTACACATCTTGCCTAGAGAGGTCCTTGGCAGATCAACCTTTTCTCTTTCAATGTGGTTGTTGAATTGGTTCCCAGTAAAATTAGTTGACTGGTTCCTCCTCATCTGCTCACAATTAATTCTAGGCGACACACAGAAAATGGGCATACGAAGACCCAAAATTGGACCACTTGAACAAAAAAATTCTACTGGGAAAACCCCGGTGCTGGATGTTGGAGCTTTCTCTAAAATTAAATCAGGAAAAATCAAGGTTAATAGTAGTTTCCCTCTTACTTCTTGTCTACATTAAACGAATACATTTTTATTCATAACATTCATGGACCTTTTAGGTGGTTTGCGGTGTTCAAAGATTTACAGCCAGCGGCGCAGAGTTTGTGGATGGACATGTAGAGAATTTTGATTCAGTGATCTTAGCAACAGGTTATAGAAGCACTGTAACATCATGGCTCAAGGTATAGAAGAAGTTCATTACATTTACAAATAGGTTGATGCTCTCAAGGTTCAAATACCTTGGGGCAGATAATTTTCGTTTGAGAGTTCTGTCCATGCTTGTTAATTCCTGTGCTTTTCTTTTTTGACACCAAAAGGAGGACAACTTCTTCAACGAGAATGACGGTTATCCAAGAAATCCATTCCCCGACAACTGGAAAGGCAAGAATGGACTTTACAGTGTTGGTTTTACCAGGAGAGGATTGTTGGGTTCATCCATTGATGCACACAGAGTAGCAGAAGATATTGCAAGACAATGGAACTGTGAGACAAAGCATCTGCGAATAGAGTCATGACCAGAACTTATATATGTGGTTTATTTATTCAGAGTTTAACGTTCTGTTTATGTGGTTTATTTATTCAGAGTTTAACGTTCTGTTTAGGGTTTGTGTCGAGTATCAACAGCACAGGAAAACTGTGATCTCAGTGCTAGAGGAGTGCTATTACAGGGAAGTGTCTGTTTGATTGTTTTCTACATGAGGTGACGTAGTGCTTAGTCACAGAAGAGTTGTTCGTTAAGCTTTCATTCCTAACATCTGCTATCACATCACAAAGAGCTTGACCCTACCGTATAGATTAAGATTTTTCTTCAAGAAAAGAGGATGTCATATGAATGCACAATGACTGCCATCATGTTCATCTCCTTTCAATATTCCCCTGCTTCCTATCCTGATGGTTATAAGAACATTAATGTTTTTATGAATTAGATGGGTAGATTTTTTTCTATTCTTGACTGTGATTTCTCTCTCTAGTATTTCTTATGAGGTGAAATGAAGAAATAAAAATAACATTAGTGTATCGGCTCCACCAAGATCTAGAAAGACTTTAAGCTATATATTTCCATTACAGGATTAGTGACATGCTTGTATATTAGTAGTTACTGTGAGAAAAACTGCCGCAATTATTGATGAATATTGCAATATAAAAAAACTAAAAAAAATATAAACGTGATTCAACAATATATTTATATCTATAAAATGAGAAATTTTTATTTTTATTATGCTGAAATATAGTTACATAGCATGTATTTATTGTAAATCTTAAACTATTTAAAAAAACCTACATACCAAAAAAATCCAAACAATCAAACGTGTATTAATAATTTTTCCTCTAACCAACCTGCATGACCTACCATGAGAAGAACACCACAACAATCCAGATTCGATCCGTGGTCCTGTCCACAAGTACTGCAGATAATTTAAAGGTCCTCATTCCTTATATCATTGCTTTTTTAGGCTTCTGGTAACAGAACCATACCATTAATTCATAAAAGAAGAAATGAAAATTATATTTTATGAATTCTATTTCCAGACCAATCATCCAGTGGATACTCTAGATAAATCACCGATGAAAGTTCAAAGAAGATAATACTAAAAGAAATTTGAAGCAAAGAAGGCTTAATGAAGGAGAACAATTAGTTTGAGTAAAAACAAAAGGATTAATTACACTAACAAAATTAGAGTAACATTACTACTCAGGAATCAAGATCTAATGGCTGACGGAATGGAGTTTTGACCATGTAATAAAAACCACAAGTAAAGACAAGAGATATTGCGGTGATTGAACCTTCTCTTGCTCTGAGTAACCTGTCTCCTACCCTAGAAGCAAGTGACTGGGTCCAAACCTATTACAGTTGAGGGTACGCGTGTCACACTTGTCAATCCTTGATGTAAGCAGTTCAGAAATTCCAGACAAAGACATCGCCATTTGTCGAGTCTCTAGCTACTAATTCAGAGCAAAACCTACTAACGTCTCCCTTCTAAAACTCTACAAAAACCAACCGTAGGGAACCCTCCATGCTAGTCAATAAACGACGCAAAAACATATGGACAAGACGACTCTACCACCCAGGATAAAGATGGTGAATTTTGCTGAGCTTGAGCAACTGTGATAAAGGCTTGCTTCAATCTTAAAACCATTTCCCTAACTCAGAATCATGCAGCTTATTAGACAATTAAAACGTCTAAAAAAGAAGGTCCCACATATTTAATGTGCAAAGCTATCATGCTGGAAAGCTAATCAGGGAAGACGACTCGAGCAATATACAATGTCATCCAAGGCAATATGTTTCACATAATTATTAGAGAGGGGGGGGGGGGGGGGGGGGGGGGGGGGGGGGGGGGGGGGGGGGGGGGGGGGGGGGGGGGGGGGGGGGGGGGGGGGGGGGGGGGGGGGGGGGGGGGGGGGGGGGGGGGGGGGGGGGGGGGGGGGGGGGGGGGGGGGGGGGGGGGGGGGGTTGTGGGGTGGGGAGAAGAGCAGGATGGGCATAAATGTACATGAACAATCAGTTTGTGGAAAGTGACATTGAGAAGTTCCTTCAGCAATTGCCTTTGGTCTCTGTCAGTAATACCAAATAAAATTAACAGTTCCTATAGAATGTCCGGACTGAGGAGCTCAGTCATGCCAGGCTGATGCATAATTCTTTAATATCCAAGTCGAATATGTCACTCATTGATTGCTACACGGAGTGTCAGAATTAAGAGCAGAAGATGCCAAGTTCTGTTGATAACTATAAACAGATAGTGCAGAAAACGTAAAGAAAAGAAAGACGAGTTCTGTAAAATAACTCAAACAATATTGTTTTAATAAAAAAAAGTTTTTTAATTCTTTAATCACAAATCACATCGAATTTTTCAAATATATAAAGCTGAATTGTAAGGCTCAAACATAGGTTAAACCTGATCAAGGCTATATGATATTTGATTTAAGCGTGCCTTAACATCAACCCCACAAATCCCATGAATTAATCTGGAGAGCAAAAGCATTACATTTTTATATTAAAAAAGCATATACAATCTACATTGTGGATCAGCTTTATGCCAAATAGTTTGCTTCTTGATGCTTCAAAATTTTCTTTTGAAATAGCTTTGGTTAGCACATATATGCTATCTAATCATCAGTTTTGTAATAAAACAAAATAATTTTATTTTTTTTGTGTGTATTTATTTAAAAAAATAAAACATTATTTTCAATTGAAATTACATCATGATTTTAAACATAAATATATATTGACTCAAGTTTATTTAGATATAAATCCACAAGTATTTTTTTGATTCAGATTACTTGATTTACAACAGCAATAACTATTATATATTTAACCTCAATTTCTTTAAGCAACAACATTTTGCTTTCTTCAATACCAAGAAAACATTTCTAATCCAAAGGTGAAACATTAATAACTTGTAGTAATTTTCATTTCATCCATATATCTTGTTTAATCTGGATTAAAATGACTATCAAGCATAAAACTCTAAAAATAAAAAAAATTTATACCATGGTTTAATATGCCTTTAATGTATCTTACATTTCTTTTTCAGTATAATTTACCGGCACAATAGGTGAATTGTGAGAGCAAACTTACTACAAAAGCAATATCAAGATTTATTAGTGTAAGATACATCAAACACCCAATTAATAACCTTATAAGCAACACTCCTGATCTTTCTTCTGCATCTTTTAAGACTTTCTTTCGACAAGTTCACATCACAACAGCAGTTTTGTTTTTATTAGAAATATGGTTTAAAGCAGACATGGTGAATCTGGATAGTTTCTATAGCAGCATAGCTATCGTGTCACTAAGTGTAGGTAGCAACCCTTAAAAAGTCATTGTGATCTAGTTCCATTACGGATCCATGCAAATCCTAAGTGAAATAACATCTTGACTCACGAGGAAGAGACAAAGACAATTGTTACCAGCTAGTGTCTGTCCAAAGCCCCAATATTTAAGCTTCCTATTCCACGTTGACAAGACTGTTTCCAACTTGCAGAAGTATCGATGATGACGAATGAAACGTGGAAAAACAGCGGTAAATGCAACTATCAAATTAAATGGCACAGACAGGATTCAAAGCATTTGAAAGGGAAAAGGTATTTCTAAATCTAAATAATGCCAAGCTTCAAATTCTATCATGAATTCTGACCGTGATCACCTACAATGTGTCAAAACCAAGCATCTAGTTCGAGAACCACCTAAGACTACATGTAGCTAGCTCCAGAAAGGCCTCAGAATGGAAGTGGCATGAGGTGAATTAACCAGTCGCACCTCATATATCTAGATCCGTATAAGGCTAAAATGATCCTGACAATCCATCATTTAGTTCTCTCATTCTGTTTCCATTATAATTTCTGTTACCGTGTTGAAATCGTTCTAAAGCCAAATCAGTTTTTAAATTGAAGATAGACACCAAGTTGTATTCGCAAAAAAATCTGACATTTTAATGCTGTCGACCTAACATGTATGAGGTCAATCTGTCTGATTTCCTCAATCAGTTTGATAACCATGACTATTTTATGTAAGGAATGGAAATCTTCACACCAGAAAGCAATCAAATGTGATGTTGCAGGAACAATACAAGAAGACAACAAGTGCTAAGAAAAATAGAATGATGCTAAACAGAGTCTTCACGCAAAACTCTTAATCCAAAATTTTATTAATGAATATTGAATATTGCAGCTTTTATAAGCTACTTACGTACTTGAAAGTCCAGAACAAAGTTACAAAAATAATAAAATGTAGAAAAAACAAATTCTAGAGTATATCAAATTCTAAAAATAAGTTATAATAAAAGAGTAGAAAAAACAAATTCTAGAATAAATCAAATTCTAAAAAGAACTTCTTTATGTAAATGTCTTTCTAATTCTACATTGCTATAAAATCTTAATCTTAAAAAAGACCTGGCCTTTATAATTTTCTAGAAAACTATATAATATAAATTACAGCGGTGTATAGACAAAGACAATAAATTATAGCTCTACTTATTATTTTTTAGGTTGAGAGATTGAACACATCTAAACCTAAGTTTTTTAGTTTTATTATTAGACTTTAATTTTTATTTTTTGTTAGATTTTTATTAATTAATGGGTTTTAAACTCAAATTTGATTATGTTTAGGTTCCTATTCTTTAGTTGTATTTTTTGAAATTACGATCGGTTGATGATAAATTAATAATAGAGTTACGAAAGAAGCTTGATAGGCTAGTCACTGGTCTATGTTCTCAAGTTGGCCATCTATTTTTTGGCTGGTCCACGATACTGCTGAAGAAATTGACAACGCCATGAAAAATAGAGAGCAGAACCGAACAACCTAGCCAAATGGTCTATTTTCTAAAGCTGAGCATCTAAAAAAATACCAGTACCTACAGTAACAAATGCATTCTAAGTTTAGTGCATAGGTCTTCTGTGCAGCCAAGATTTTCCAGGAAAAAACATACCATGAATGATTCCATATTCTCATAACGTGCACCATGTTGCATGGACAGTGTAATGTGTAACAGGAGCATCATTCTGGAAAAAAATCAATAATCCCTAATACTTCTAGATATCATCCAAGTAGGAAAGTGGGAATTCGAGGACTCAATCAAACATCAAGTGGAACAAAGCTTTTACTCTAGAGCAAGGCAGCTGGAAAACATATCCAACTATCTAACCTAGATGCAGTCAGAAAGCAACAACAGCATGGTAAAATTAAGGTTATCAATAACAGTTGCAAGAATCTAGAATCTGTGTTGAATGTACAACACGTTATTCTCATAAATTACCTACTGGATTACATATGTAATTTTGTGATAGTTATTGCCTAACCTCAAATTAGAGGAAGAACTACACTTCAAAAG